GGAGCGCCTTCTCGCGGCCTCCGCGCCGTCTTGGCCTCGTTGGGCTCCGGCAGTTGCAGCGGGCTGGGGGCGTGTGGGCTGCGGGGAGGCTGTTTCTGAAAGGCAGTGGGCCGCCTCTGTCTGCTGTCCTGAGAACTATTGTGGAGCGAGGGCCCGCGGAGTCGTCTCTGTAGAACCCGAGTCAGGCTGTCATCTTGGGAAATCCTGGCGTGGCCTCCTGCTGTCTTTAGAGAAAGTCCAAAGCGCTCGGCGTGACTTAGAAGGGCCTCTGAGTCCTGTTACTATTGCCCACTTTTTCAGTCTCGCTGCCGCTGTCTTACCCCGACTCCATCGTTGTGCTGCTTGGAGCCCCGGTGACACCTTGCTGGCCTCCGCAGGCCTTTGCGCACCCTGATTCCTATTTGGAAACACCTTCCCTGGCTAGTGGTTACTTCACCGACGTGCCCTTCGGAAGCCTTGTTCAGCGCCCTAGGCTGACTTGGGTGCGCCTTTGTCACATTTCATTGTAATTATTGTTCATCACTCTGCGATACTGAAAATTTCTTGAGGTTAGGAATGGTGTTTTGTTTTAGTCTGGCACATAGTAAGTGCTAAATAAATACATGTTTTTACATGTATAAATGAGAAATGGAATCCAGAATTTAAAAATCACAGCTTTATTGAACCCCTCTCAGGTCTTTTAGGGCTGGGTGCTCAAGCTCAAGCACGGATCACTATCGCCTGCAGGGCTTGTTAAAACACCGCAAGGCCCTGATTATTGACTTTCTGATTTGATAAGTCTGGGGTGGAACCCAAGAATTTGAATTTCTAACTAGTTTCCAGCTGATGCTGATGCTGATGCTTTTGGTCCCGGAATCATACCTTTGGAACCAAGACTTTAGGGGAAAAAAATAATTTTCATCTCTTCATCAGCAATGACTTTAGATTTCCAAATTTGCCCACAATAACAATTTTTATTTTTAAAAATATATCTTTATTGATTTCAGAGAGAGGAAGGGAGAGGGAAAGAGACAGAAACATCAATGATGAGAGTCATTGATCAGCTGCCTCCTGCACGTCCCCAACCAGGGATCGAGCCCGAAACCCGGGCATGTGCCCTGACTGGGAATCCAACCGCCATCTCCTAGATTCTAGGTCGGTACTCAGCCGCTGAGCCACACCCGGCTAGGTCACAATAACATCCAGTAGCATGGAATAGTTACAGAACTTGTTGCAATGATATTGAAGATATTTTTTCCGTTTGTTTGCTAATCCTCGCTTGAGGATGTTTTTTCCACTGCTTTTCAGAGTGGACTGGAGGGGCGATAGAGAAACAGATTTGAGGGAGACCCATTGACTGATCACCTCCTTCCCATGCCCCAACCAGGGGTGGGGAGTGAACCCTCGACCCTCTAACAGTGGAGCTGCAGTGGCCAGGGCATGAAAAGATTTTTTTTTCCTTGCCTAGGAATTAACGTGTATTTGGTGCTAGATACTGTGGTTTGTTGACTTTAAGATGAAAAAGGAAAAATGTGAAGCACAGGGCACCCTCTTGTGGTGACCATAGCAATTCAGAAAACTAAAAATGGAAGCTCTTTCTGATAGGAACCCAACCTGGGGGTGGGGGGAATCATTTGTGATACATGTTATGGCCCCTGGAAGAATTGTTGCAGACTACTAAATATTTACATATTTTACTTCATTTTTTCTTACCTGACAGGTTCCTTTTCCAGTGTGGTGTCACTTATTGTGTCCTCAGTGGCAAGTAATTTGACTGCACCCATGTTTCCCTTGTTAGGTAGTTACATAGCTTGGAACTCTCAGATTCCTTTCTCAGGTCAAGATACTTATTTTCATTGGGGTTGAATGTTCCCTGTCATTTTTCAATTTAGGTGTTATAAGTAGTTGAATAACCACTGATTATTTTCTGGACCTGATTGGTTTATGACTTCAGAAGAAACAATGGAAAGCCAAGAATTTATTGTAAGTCTGACCACTATTTTTTCTTTCTTTTACATTTTACAAATGTCCCTAGAGTTGCCAGACTGAGCAAAAACAAAAAACAAACAAATCCCCGAAACCTAAAAGGAAGACTCAGTTAAATTTGAATTTCAGATAAACAGTGATGAATTTTGTAGTATAAGTGTGTATGTCTCAAATATTGCCCTGCATTTTAACTGTCAACCCTGTCTTTTGTCCACTATTCACATTTGTTATTCACAGTCATTTGGAACAAAATCTGGGCAAGCTTGGGACCAGGAAATAATTTATTTCTCCTAAAGAACTGGCATGCCTCTTCTATGTAGATCAGTGATCTCAGGACCCGTTTCTACTCTCAAAAATTATTGAGGACCCCAAATAATTTCTGATTATGAGGCTTATATCTATTGATGTCTTTCATATTAGAAATAACAAATTTTAAAAGTACTTATTTATTAAAAATAATAAACCTGATACATTGAACATAAATTACATTTTTAAAGAAAATAGCTAGATTTTCTAAAACAATAACATTAACAAAGAAACATTGACAAGAGTAGTATTGCTGTATATTTTTTGCATATCCCTTTAACATTCTGAGAATTAACTCAGACCTGCTTCTGCAGTCAGTCTTGAATCTTACAGTCTTTCACATGAATAACCTGTACATAACTCCACCATGCTTCCCAGAAGAAATGAGAGGGAAAAGGCAAGCAACTTTGTGAAAGTAGTTTTGACCTCATAGACCCCTGGAAAGCCTTGGGGACCTCCAGGCGCCTAAACTGCACCGAGAACTGCACAGACCACAAGTGCTGTGTGGCCCGTACCTTTTCCCTTCCCACTGATGGCCAGGAGGCTCAGTTCCTTGTTACTCAGTTAACCTTAGTTTTTACTTAGATTCCACACCTCCTTTCTCCACTCCCTTTCCTTTTATTACCTAGTTGTTGTTTTTTAATAAATTTTCTGTTATTGTTATGAGTTGTGACTTTATTTTCATTTATTTATTTATTTTTAAAAAAATATATCTTTATTGATTTCAGAGAGAGGAAAGGAGAGGGAGAGAGAGAGACAGAAACATCAATGATGAGAGAGGCACTGATCGAGCCCGCAACCCGGGCATGTGCCCTGACCGGGAATCGAGCCCTGATCGCCTGGATCCCAGGTCGACGCTCAACCGCTGAGCCACGCCCAGCTGGGCTGTGACTTTATTTTGATAAAAGATGTCTTAAATATGTTTTGTTTGTAAATATATTTTGTTTGTAAATACATAAGAAGTGTTGTAAATATGTAACATTTAACATACATGAGTAGAAACCGTTTCTTCCCTCTGTGCTTTTGGAAATAGGTACTGTATACTCACCAAAAGATGAAGAGGTCAAAAGTGTGGCAAGATGGGATTTTGAAGGTCACTCACTTAGGAAACAAAGTAAGTGAAAAGCAGTCGATGACAGAAGCTAAGAGCTTTGTTTTTAGTTTCAGTCAGAGCACTCTGTACCAGGTCATGCCCTTTAGAGAGGGTTGGTCTCATAGTGGGATCTCCACGTTCAAGTCATGTCATTATCTTTTTATATATATGTATATATATATATATATATATATATGTGTGTGTGTGTGTGTGTGTGTATATATATATAAAATTTTTTCTATGTTTTTATTGATTTCAGAGAGAGGAAGGGAGAGGGAGAGAGAGAGAGAAACATCAGTGATGACAGAATCATCAGTGGCTGCCTCCTGCATGGCCCCTCCTAGGGATTGGACCGTGACCTCCAGGTTCATGGGCCAACGCTCAACAACTGAGCCACACCGACAGGGCTCATTATCTTTATTTTAAAATTGAATTCATTGGGGTGACATTGGTTAATTCTTCTCATTTGAATAGATGAATGTTTAGCCTGCCCCATCTATATTTTTTTAACCATTTAAACTAATTAATTCATTCACTGTTCAGTGTTATTCTGTGTAATTTTTTTCTTTTATATTCTTTCTGTTTGGTTGGGGCCAAGTCTTCAAAATCTTACAGATTTTGTCTTATATTAAAAAGACATCTGATTGGATTCTGAATAGCCTTCATGTCTTCTTGTATTACAAAATGATAATATTAAGGTCAAGCTAGTGGTATCCAACTTTATCTTCAACACTTGCATATGTTTATTGTGTCCATTGTACACTTCACACTGGTAGGAAGTGTAGGAAAACAAGATAAATTCAGGTTAGCCCCAGAGATTTTCTGTGATCCAGGAAAGTTAATGTCACTGTACCCTCAGCCACTGTTTACCCTATTCTCCTGCTCTAGCCATGCCTTTTCTCTGCCTTTCCAAATTCTTACTGTCTTTCGTTAATTGAGTCATCACTCAACATGTTGCTGGTGGGTGAGGGAAAGGTTAGGCGAGACCTGGAGTGGGCATAAGGAGCAGTTCATGCTGGGCAGACCTCACTTGAGACTGACTCTCCTATGTTGGATGTGTGACCCTAGCAAGTTATTTCGCCTCTCAGGCCTCTAGTGTCTTGCTAAAGGGAAACAGTGATACTTTATAAACTTGCCTGAGGATTAAATGAGAAAACGGAAACTTTTAACAAAGTGCCTGGCACATTGTAAGCATGCACTGAATGGTAACTGTTAATTATAGTTTTTTTCTTCAAGAGACTTTTATCTAATTTTATCCAAGAGCATAAGGATCATAATATGTACAGAAATATGCTTAGGACTCTGAGATTACAAAGGAGGGACATCAAAGTCTGACTCTGGTTTAGAAGTCTTTCTAGATGAAGAGTGTTTGAAATGAAGATGGTGTCATAGCTACAGCATCACGGAGGTACGAAACAGCAGGAAACGTTTGGGGAACTGCAGGCAGAGAATGTGGCCAGAGTGAAGGGCCCGTGCAGGGAAGCTGTAGGAGCTGCATCGCGGGGGACTGTGTGCCCAGCCTCTAGGAGCCAGCGAAGACCTGTGAGCAGAAGAGTGACATGTTTCTATTTTAGGACGTCTTTTTGGCATCAGTATCAAACATAACTTTTAAGTCCTGAAAGGTGAAAGACTGGATTAGGGAGGCTTTTGTAAAGAGACAACAGCGTAACGTAGACACAGCATGATCGGGGTCTGAGCAGGCAGGCGTGTGCGGGGCGGCGAGGGAGGGATAGCTAGAGGGGCGTCCGAAACTAGTGCCCATGCTCAAGGTCTTGGAGTGGAAGGTGAGGAGGGTCCAAAATGAGTTTCAGGTATCATATGACAGGTAAGGTCCTAGTGAGGGTATCTCCAAAAAGAAAGAAAGTTTAGAGGGAATGAAGAAGATTTGAGTTCCATTTTGGGCATAACTGAATTTCAGTACACTCAAGTAATTGGCTGAGGGGGCCTGGAACTCGGGAGAGTCTGGGCAACTGAAAGGGGTGCTTGGCATTTGGGTGATACTTGAAGCTCCTGGAGTGGATTCATTCATTCATTTATTCAACAAGTAGTTTTTGACCATCTGAGTTATACACTGTTCTAAAAGATGCAGTGAGGAACAAAGACGAGTCAGACGGAGATAGACCAGTGTGTCTGGGGCGTTGGGCAAACAGGAGTAGGGTGCGCGAGGGCAAGGGTGGACATCAAGGGGTGGGGGCCTTACTGCTCCTTGTAAGGACTTTTATTGTCATTCTTTGGGAGCCATGGAGACCTTGGAAGGATTTGAGCGGAAGCATAACATGATCTGATGTGTATGGGTGATGTGGCCGGGGGCAGGTATGGAATGTAAAGGGGAGAGGAAGAAGAGCCCTCAGAAACACCCTTTTTTTTTAACAGCTTTACTGACGTACAATTCACACGCTTTTCAATGTACCTATTTAGAGTATACAATTCAGTGGGTCTTGGTATATTCACAGAGTTTTGCAACCACCACAGTCTATTTCAGGACATTTTTGTCACACCAAAAAGAAATCCCATACCCATTAGTAACCACTACTCAGCTCGTAACCCCAGCCCTCAGCAGCCACTGATCTACCTGCTGTCTGCGGGTCTGCCTGTGCTGGGCCTTGCCTGTGACTGCGGTCACAACATGTGGCCCTTCATGAGTTGCTTTCGTCATCACGCTCTCAGTGGCCATGCGTGTGAGTCACGTGCCAGTCCCTTAGCCTTCCATGGCGGAGTGAGACTCGGTCACATGGACTTGCCATCTTGTCCTTATCTGTTGGTCAGTTGACAGACATTTGGGTTGTTTCCACTTTTTGGCTGTTTTGAATACGGATATGAACATGTGTGTGCAAGTTTTTGTGAAAACATGTTTTCATTTCTGTATCTACCTAGGAGTGGAATTGCTGGATCCTGTGTCAGTCTGTTTAATCTTTTAAGAACTGCCAAAGTTCTACAGTGATGGAAATAGCAACATTTTAAGGGCTGGGGGAGGCATGCTTGTGAATGGCTACAGAGACATGAGGAGACACCTCCTTAGTTTCCTTTCTCTCCCTGTGCCTCCCATGCACAAGTCCTGTTCATCCTGCCTCGGACACAGTGGCTGCCTGCAGGCCTCGTCATTGCCTGACCTCCCGCACCATGGTGGCCGTCTCACGACTGTCTCCTGCTTTGCCTTTCACACATTCCCACTCTCTTTGCTTCCCAGTCTACACCAGAGCCTCCTGGCAGGGATTGTTTTTAGTTTCACGTGTGTGCCTTCACCCTGACTGAGTGACGTTTAAAACAGACACCCTTTCTAATCCAAGTTAAAGTGAGTCACCCCCTTACATGATTTACTCACAGAACAATTTTAGATTTGCTATTGAAGATGTTTAAGAAAAGCAGACTTATGTTGTGTCCTATTCTAACATTTAATTTGTTTTAACATAGGCAATTTTATATGATGACAAAGGAGAATGTTTGGAGAGTTTATTTCTGAAGCACCTTGAGGTATTTTAATGTATCTACCTTATTTTTATTTTATATTTGTTGATTTTAGAGAGAGAGAGAGAAACGTCAATCTGTTGGTCCACTAACTTATGCATTCATTGGTTGATTCTTGTATGTGCCCTGACTGGAGATTGAACCCACAGGTTTGGTGTATCTGGACAATGTTCTGACCAACTGAGCTATCCGGCCAGGGCGTGTCTACCTTATTTTTAAGTATTGTTTAAAAATCTCTTTAAATATATCTTTTATGAATGTTGTTAAATAGTGTAGTCAAAGCTACTAATAGTAATAATTATAGCTAGTGTTTATTGAGCACTTATTATCAGCCAGACTCTGCTAAATGAAAGCTTTTAGATATTGTCTGATTTAATGTTTACATGACCCTGTGAATTGTAGGTTAGGAGAGATGCACAGAAAGTTTAGTAACTTAGTGACTCTCATCTGACTCTGTTACGTGGTTTGACAGGCAGAGCCACAGTGGGACTCCTTTGTGGGTTAGTCCTATTTAACCTTGTCTCATGCATTGACCCTGTACTTTTCCCTGTTGCAGGAGCAAGGGAGGGGAGCTAAGAGCATGTTAGTGTGAAGACTTAAGGATAACCGATTGTGTGTTCCAGGTCATTTCCCACTTTCTGCTACTCCTGCAGCTCAGCTGTGCATCTGACTCTGCTGTGACATGCAGGAGGGGGCAGACTGCTGGGCTGAGCTGCGCACTTGGGAGAGCTCATGAAAGGCGCCCAGCAGTTCAGTGCAGTTACTCTAAGGTGTTAAGATATATCTTTTTTCTTTTTTTTAATATACCTTTATTGATTTCAGAGAGAGGAAAGGAGAGGGAGAAAGAGAGATAGGAACATCAATGATGAGAGAGTCGTTGATCAGCTGCCTCCTACAGGCCCCAGACTGGGGATCGAGCCCCCGACCCGGTCATGTGCCCTGACCGGGATCGAACCCTGAATGCCTGGATCCTAGGTCAACGCTTGACCACTGAGTCACACCTGGCTGGGCAAGATACATCTTCTTGTCATTGTACTGGTTTGGGCCATGTTACTCTACTTTTAAAATTTATATGACAATAATAGTGCTTGTGGTATTTCTATATTTATCAAAAGAGGGTCCAGAAGCACTTTTCATTGGTGGTAACTACTGTTGTTATTTCATTTAGAATCATTTCCCTAATTAAGTACATTATCTCTGATAATACTCAGATTTTATCAGCTAGGTTGATCATTTATTTTTATGCTGCAGTCAGAGATTTTGGCATGTGCTATACTTTATTTAGGTGATTAAAATGCTTTTTTTGGAATACAATTGTTTAAGCAACTAATAATTAAAATAATATTTAATTTGTGATAATTAAAGGCATATAATTGATATTTAATAGCTCTGATTTTTTAAAATTGCATTTAGTTGTATGGATTCTAAGTGTGGTCCTTGAGAGGAGTCAGTTTTTCTTGCTTCTGTGTGTATCCCCAGCACATAACAAAGGGCCTCCTGTAGTTCCCTGTTGTATACTGTTGAGTAAACAAGTTAGTGACATTTTTGTTGTACTCTTATTCTTTGTTGTGCTTGTTGGTACTTAAGTAGTTCATAGTAATAATCATTCAATAACTTTATCAAATATCCATTGTGTCTACCAGTGCCAGTGAGCTTACAGGACACAGAGGTCATCAAATAATTAGATATATGTGATTTTTACATTTATTCTTTAACATCTAGGTGAAACCCGGAGATGGCTTAGAAGGTGATCGATATTTAATCACAGTGGAGGAGGCTAGAGCTGCTGGAAGCATGGCTGTTAACCAGGAGGCCATCCAAGAAGCACCAGGGTACAAACCAAGGCGGGCCATGCCCTCTGGCCGGTCCCCCAGATATCAGCCTCCCGGTTTGAAAAGGAAGTATGCTGTAAGTTTCTCTGAAAATACTGGACCAATTTATACCTGTAAAGTCATTTAAGGAGTGGTGAATTTTGAAGCTGTTGTAGTTTCCTTCATGTGGCATTTTATAGTATATGTTTAGGTAGAAAGTAAACCCTAATTAGAAAGAATCTTAATAAAAATGAGTTTACATTTTAACTTTGCAAACTGTAGGTGTTAATTATTTATTACCTTAGAAAACACACACTCCTTTTTCTTTCCTTCTTTTTTTTTTTCAGCTGGTACATTTCACACTTTATAAGCAATAAAACAGCTAATAATTGCTTTAATATTTTAGGGTTTTCAAGGACCATGTCAAGTGCCAAAGAAAATGGCTATTGTGGAAAATGGCGAGTCAGCTGTATCACTTGAAGCTGTTACCCCTGGTCCTGCCTTTCTCTCTCCATTCTTGAGCACCCCTCCTTTATTTTCTGCTGCTGCCAAGAAAGAAGTAAACAGGATGCCAGCAGAGCCCAAGAACATTGTCGTCTATGAAGACACAGGGAAAAATGGCCCACCTCTTTCTTACATAGGCTCTGCCCTGTCTTCCCGGAGTAACCCAGAGGTGCTGTGGGAAGAGCGTCATCTTGGCTCCCCTGTCAGCTCTGCAGACAAGCACGCCATTTCTTTACTGACCGACAAGCCCACAAAAGGACATAGTTTGGACCCTCACTGTTCAGGAGTTGCACAGAACATCAGGAGCAAAGCACAGATCCTAGCTCTTCTGAAGTCCAAATCAACCAGTATGTCCAAGGAAGTGGACTCTGAGATGTTAGGACATGTCCTTCACGTACAACCACAAGGAAGTTTACAAGTTCCTCCTAAACCACAGTGCTCGATTGAGTGTGCTGAGAGGAGAACAGAAAGCTTACAGTCCCAGCGACCACCAGAAAGCACCCTGAGAAGTACAAGCCGGTGGGCTATGTATTTATCCTTACAGAGTTCACCTGTTCATTCTGCTGTAGATGGAAATAATCTAGACAGGAAGCCCAAGGTTCAAGGTGATGACATAAATTTAAATCAGAGAGACATTTTGATACAAAAAAGGATACAGTTATTTGAAACAGGTGCTGAAAATGGGGAAAAGTGTAATGAAAACAAGCTAGTAGATACTACTGATTCACCCTGGGATCAGGAAGAAAAATTGGAAATTCCTTTGTTTTGTGAAAGCAACAGCTTACCCATTACCTGTGGCAATGTGGAAAATGATGGCTTAGTGTCAGAATCTAACATTCAAGAAAATACTCCAATACCTGTTAATCAGAATGACCAGTTGTGCATAAAAGGATCGATTCCCATTAGAGAAAATGCTCAGGAGATAAATACATGTGGAACAGCAGAAAAGGGGTACAAACGAACCGTGGCTTATCTGCCAGAATCGGAATGTCTACAAATTGAACCTTCACTGAGTAACAACTCTAAAATCAATGATGCCATCACTGACATGTTTTCTAGAACTAAAACTGATAATGAAAGTCTTAGTATTTGTGGACCGTTGAGTAATGTAACACAACCAGTTTTGGAGGTAAATTTTAATCTGAACAATTTTGAAACCAGTGACACTGAAGAGGAACCCCAGGAAAGCAACAAAATGCCCCAGGATCAAGCGGATTGGGAAAAGGAGACCTTGGCTGAGGACCACTGTTCGGGTGTTCAGGGTATGCACTGTGAGGAGGGCAGTGGTGCACCTTTGCCGCTCTCGGTGCCTATTGGGGGTAAACCTACAGAGATGTTTCTTACCATGGAGACTGTGCCGTTACAGCTTTGTGGTCAGGCTGGACCCGCTGGAGGTGAAGTGGCAGAGTGCACTGACTCAGCTTCAGAGTGGACCGGGGATGTGTATACGGGGAACGGAGCTGCTGATACACCTATCCAAAAAGTCAGAAGTAGCTATGATTTTGCCTCAGTCCCAAATAAATGTAAAGGTATAAACTCGAATTTACACAGTCCTCATTTTTTAAACATAGACACTAATCAGACTCCTGAAAGCAACCTGTTTTCAGAACAGACTGAACATCAGTCTTTTATTATGAGCAGTGACTTAGACACAGATGGCGAGCAGGCTTTACCGCGGCCCCCTGCCAGTGACAGCAGTACCCAACCAGGAAGCGGCCGTCAGAACCACTCTGGCGAGTGTGTTGCTCTTGATAAATCAAGCACCCAAGTTTCCAGTTCTTTGTTTTACCCTCTGGGAAGAAAGCATCCTATTTCCAAGGACACAGAAGCACACATTCCTGAATCTGAAGATTTGGGAAGGATTTCCAGTTTATCCCATGGCCATGTTGAAGCAGATACTGCTGGAGCAAGCAGGCAATACTGGAGTAGTCCTCGGAATTCTTCAGAGCCCTCAGGATTAGCAAATAGCATTTCCCTTTTAAAGTCATTGTCTGAACATAGTACAGCTTTAGAAAGCTTGGAAATGTTGAAAAAGAAAAATACTTCCTTTAAACAACAAGGAACGCTGCAGACGCATGAGCCGGAGAACAGCCCTGAAGGTTAGGATGGTTAGGCTGGATTCTGTCTGGATTGTTCTTAGAACTTACAGGATGAGAAGGTACTTGCTCTGGAGGCTACGTTAAAGAATCACATGGTGGTTAAGTAGGTAATACGTGTACGTGGTAAAAAGTAAGGCTCCTTCCTCTCATAGTCTCTCAGCCACTCAGCACGGTTTCTGTCCAGAAGTGTCCTATGCACACGTAAGCAAATGTGTGTGCATGTCACATCATTCCTGTCATATGCTTTTGGACATGTGCTAGGAGCTACTTTTTTAAATAAAGTCATGAGTTTATAGTGATTATCTCTAATTCCACTTCCACACCTCAGAGCTCTTCTCTTTCCTGCATTCCATAACGTGTTCCTTTGTTCCAAATTGCAGTGAGAAAGGGCCCAGGTTCCTACCACATCAGTCCATTTACTTCCTCAGTTCTGCAGTACACCCCAAATGGTTTCCAGGTTGTTACCCCAGTATCACTGCCAGAAAAAGCAAAGTTTGTAGAATTCACAAATCCTTTTTTTCTTTGTAGACTGTGTCATACTGAGAGTATAGAGTTGAGTATTATGCTCAAAAGTTACTTGGGTAATTTGTTCTCTTCTGGGTGATTGTTATTCAGTATAAATATAGTTAAGTTCATTTTTTATATTCAGTAGTAGTACTTTTATGGCCATCCTTGTTGATTTACGTATTTCTGACTATGTAAAATATTGACCTGGTTTAAGCTGAGCCATATACAGGCATCTGCTCGGCTTCCTTCCTTGTGCCTTCCAGCCTTTCCCTACCTGCCTGCTGTAGGTAACCTCTATGTCATACCTGTGTTTCCTTTTGCTAAAACATACAGCTCCACATAGAACTTGTTTTCCCCTGTTCAACAGAAGACACCATGCTCTATGTGTTCATTAGCACCTTGCTGCTTTTCACCTGGCAGTACATCCTGGAAGGCACCTCATTCATAGGACCCGTCTGCATTCTGGTACAGCTCTGTGAGCCTCCTGTGTAGATGGACCAGCGTTCATGCAACCAGCCTCCAGTGTTTTGCTATTACACATAACGTGACAATAAGTAACCTTACATATTTATATAAGTATATGGGCTTTTGCCTATTGTTGGAGGGATGCAAATATGTAGCAGTGGGGTTGCGGTAGAAGTGTCTGTAGATACTGTACTTCAAAATTCCCTCCGTAGGAATTACACGCTTCTCACTGGCCAGCCACGTGTGGGAGTGCCTGTTCTCCAGGGCCTCGCAGCCTGAGCCATGGGAAGCGGCGTTTTAAATGTGTGTCTGTTACTGCAGGGTGTTGAGCTGCTTTCCATGTGTTTAAGCATCGTTCGTATATATATTTTTTCATGCGTTATCCTACCTGTCAGTTTTTTTTAAATATATCTTTCTTGATTTCAGAGGGAGGAAGGGAGAGGGAGAGAGAGAAACATCAGTGATGAGAAAGTCATTGATCAGCTGCCTCCTGCATGCCCGGACTGGGGATCGAACCCGCAACCCGGGCATGTGGCGTGATTGGGAATCGAACCTCGATCTCCTGGATCCTAGGTCGATGCTCAACCGCTAAGCCACTCCGGCCAGGCCCTTGTTAGTTTTTTAACTGTTGTTTTTATTCTCGATTTATATAAGTTCTTTATATATTACATATTAGCCCTTGTGATATATGTTGCAAATATTTTCTTTCAGTATGTCATTGGTCAGTTTACTTTGCTATGGTATGTTGCCTACAGCATTTTAACAGGAAAATAATGAAACCAGAAATAAATTGGCTAAAAATGAAGTTTATACCAGATATAGCTGTAAGTTTTTTTACATAAGAATCACTTAAAAATGGTAACCACCTTGGTATCCTTAGGAGAAATTGAAATGATTGAATAGGCACTTTTTCTTTTAAGAAGAAAATTCTATTTTTAAAGAGATACCCTTGAGGTGGTCCTGCCCAGCCACCCTCCCTGCTTTCCTGCTGCTGGGGGGGGGGG